CCAAAAAAAAAAAAAAAAAAGAGCAATGCATTAAAGTGACGTTGAGAATACTCTGTCGGTGACAAAATTCAATGCAAGAGCAGTAGAAATTGTGTTTTGTCATCCTTCTCCATAAAGGCTATAGTAGCAAAAGGTAACGTTGTGATTCTTACTCAAAAAACAGACGAAATGCGTTCGAGTTATTGGCTCGTCCAACTTGGAAGCATTCATGAAACAGACGAAATGCGTTCGAGTTATTGGCTCGTCCAACTTGGAAGCATTCATGAGTTGCTCGATCAACTGTGCTTCAGAGCGAGAGTATCCAATGAATCTTCTGTCTATCAATAACTGCATGCATTGCATGGTGGATGCAAAGAATAACCCCAAGTGATATGTCACAAATTTGTATTTGAGAGACAGTGAAAGCCTCATATTTTGCCTCCGGCATGTCCCTCTTGGCGTCGGTCGTGCAACCTTTGGGGGTCCGATGTTCCTCGGGACGTTGTCAACATAGATGCATGGTGAAAGTTGGTTTACAAAAGCAATAACAAGCAGAAAGAATGTAGAAATAAAAGGGTGATGTTCATTCATCATCTATCAAAATAAAGTTGCATATATAAAAATCAACGATGAATAACGTTAATCCTTTGATTGAAAAAAGTTGTAAGTACTGGATTTGCAGTTCCTACCTTGCAAAACTATAGTCATGGGACGAAAGTTTAAGATAATAGAATAATACCAATGGATCTTTGGTCTAATGGTACTTTTTACCTTATGAAAGTTTTACCTTCTTGAGGTTAAAGGTTCAAGTCCCCTTCCCCCTTCCAAAAAAAAAAAAATAGATAATGGGCTAACTAACACAATGCTAACAACATAAGAAATAGATTAATTAACATACAGATATTGCATTTTCAAGAATCAAATATTAAAAAAAGAAGAAAATAACAACCATCGTCATAACTCCAAGAGTTTCTGATGAGTGAATTGTCATAACTGTTCAAGTCCAAGATATTATTTGTCAAGTTGACTGACTTTAGTTTAGACAGCTGAAACATGATTATAAACTGTCACCCTTCTAGGAGAGTGGGGATTCAAACCGACGAGGAACGTATTAATTTCCCTTAACTGCCCGGCAGGCTGAATTGGATATTTCATTTAGGTAATGCTAAAGTTGATTCACCGAACATGAGGAAACGGGTCCTAAAAGCCCCAGTTGTCTGTCTACGGGTTAATCAAAACATTTTGAGGTTGAGAGAGAAGCCAAGAGAGAAGGGGCTGCCAAGAAATGAACGAAAACCCCAGAAGATCTTAAGTTCTAGATAATTTACAATGGAAGGGAAAGTAAGCCTACGTAGCACTAGAATTAGTACCCATCACTGATAACTAACCAAGGAAATTTTGGACATTTTACACTTGTGTATAGGTAGGAGGCTTAGGAGCGCTAAGAATTAGCAAAGCAGGATGCAACAAGAGCCCTGCATAAGCTAATGATTACTTCCTACCAAAATACCTCTGATCCAAATGCAAGAGTAAGTTAGACCAAAAACTAGATAAACTTCCCTTCTCCTTTGCAGGCTTCACCTCTTTGACTTGCAGCCTTGATCATATCAAACAGTGTCTACTTTGCGTTTCATGAGAATGTCTAAACTGAAGGTCTTTGGTACCCACCGGATTCGTATAACAATTTCTTCACAAATTCTTACTCTCTTGTTTGAATGATCGTCTCAAGCCAAGGCAGGGTTGTGTAGGATTTATCCTCTACGATACCTCTTTCCCTGAGCATCTTCCCTGATAATTTTGTGAAGGCTATTGGGAAAATCAACAGGCCATAGAACAACGTCACTTCCCAAAACATCCATCCTTGATAGATGATCAGCAGCCCTGTTAGTCTCACGCCATGAGTGAGAAACTTTGTACTTCTCAAATTTCTTTAGAAGTTCCCAAATGCACTTCAAACAGCTACTAGCCTTCGGACCATATGACTGCTCTTTGTTGATGGTTTTCACGACACTCATTGAGTCAGATTCAATCCATATTACTTTAATTCCAAGACCCAAGGCAAGAACAATGCCTCTCCATACAGCCCATAGTTCAACCAAGAAAATATCTTTTTGTGGGGCTTTGGAGACATAACCGCATATAGGATTACCCTTGTTATCCCGGAGCAAACCACCAAAACTACCATTGCCACGTTCCAGAGATCCATCACTATTCAGTTTCGTCCATCCAATGTCAGGTTTTCTCCATGTAAACCACCTACCTGATCTCGTAACTGGGCTTAAAAGACTGCTTAATTTTTCGAGGTTGATCCACGCAATCTGGTCGAAGTTCTCTATTAAAATCGTCCTACCAGATCTCTTCTTTGCTGAAGAAAAGCCAGATGTTCCATTTGTTAAGACTTCATTTGTTTTAAGCTCCTCTAGTTTTTCCCTGTGCTTCCTTCCCAAGAGGTGTTCTCTCAAACTTCTTTCGTTGGAAGTACTAACCAAACAGAGAGCACAGCTCCACTCCTTTTGAATTCTCTTTGGACTAGTTGGCCGTGCCATAACACTTTCTGTTGTGTCATCATTAGGTTTGGATTCACCCTGCGGCACAGACATACAGTAGGAGTTTTCGTCATTAGTTCGTGAGGGATTTTGACACAACACTATCATGTTGACCTATGCCCACAAGAAGCCATAACCAGAATGGTGGAGATACTGCATTATATCTTCCTATGAGTGAGGCCGCAAAATTTCATATTTTTTTAGTTATTCAGCTACTAACCAATTGCAATGGAAAACAAAACAGTGATAATTCTCCAAACGTTCCTCAACTAAAAACATTTAGTGTCGTAAGAAGAAAAGGATCAGGTTACAGATATACCTCATAAATGATGACTTTATCTAACAAATCTTCCTCTCCGTTCTCTCTGGTGACTCTCTCTGTGGCATCGAGGAAGTCAATCTTCTCCTTCGTCAAGCAGTCATTCATCCCTGGGATGAGTAAGGAATCACCTACTTGAAAATTGACAGTTATGTAGGGCCTAATGAAATGCTTGTAGGCATAAGAAGCACCATGAAAGTGAGGTATCACCAGCAAGACAGTGGCCATTCCTCTCGCATAAGGCCAAAAGGGGAGCCTGAAGGCAAACAAAATTTAAGCAATAAAACTCAATTAGTTCCTGACCAAAGTTCCTTAGATACCAAAAATGGGATTAGTTTCAATGGTACTATGTGTCTGGTCCACACAAGGTTATATGCCTTTATGCAGTCTAGGCACCAGGGTGACATTTCTAGCCTCAGCATATCATCACAGATTGTGGATTGAAATTTAAAAAGCAGAAGTTATTCAGCTACAACTTAGAATGTTCTTTGATTTAATAGTAAACTGCTTTTAGTCCCTCGTAGATCATTTGGATGAAGAAAGACACATCACTATTAGCACACAAATGACATAATCAAAGAGAATTAAACACCATAACCTATGTTCCTTTCATTACAGTATTTCTGAACGACTTCCTAAATAACAAGCCTAAAGATTTTCTTCAGGATGATATCGATATTAATGATAGGGAAGATATTGATGCTAGTGATGATATTGATCGTGACCTTGATATGGAGTTGAAACTGCTAACTATGATGAATGTGCTAACTATAGATAACGGCCTACAACATCCATATAGTTATTTGAATAAATGATAGCATCAGTTTATTAAGGAACATTTTCGCTGCCAGATAATTCCCCATTTAGCAGAGCCATTACCATTATGAATTGCTTATAACAAATCAGTATAGAGCAATTCAATTATTTTTTTGAGAAGTTAATTAAGCAATTCAATTTCCATTAGTGTACATAATAATGTTACTTGTATTTAATTTGGAGACTCAATTTAGGAATTTAATGCATTAAAACCATTGGATTGACACTGAATTTCATTCGATGCTAGGACTCACTCACCGCTAAACCAATAATGATAATCCATTAGATTCTCAAATTAGGTCATAATAGCATTGTACTTAGGTCTATAAATGGATTAGATTTTAATCCGAATTCAAATCTGATTAGCTGGATATGGATTAATATTTTTCATCGATAATCCAAAACTAATATCTTATATTTTACATATCAGATTCAAATCGGACTTTTGGATTCAGACCAGATTACCAATCGGACTTTTGAAATCGAATTCAGATCAGTTGGAATCCGGTCCAAGTCCGATCCAGGCCTAATTGTACTAGCCTTCAACCTAATAAATCACAAGTGAAGGTCCCCACTGTTCAATACAGCAGTTTAAACATGCTCAAAAAAGTTGAGATTTTCACATTCACGAAGAACCAAGCCACTAAGACATATCTTCTCCATACTTTTTACATTGTTTATTAAATTAAAAAAAAAAACGGAAGATTACCATTCGAGAAGCTTCGCAAGCACAGATTCCAAAAGTGTGATGATGGAAAATAAAACCCAATACGCAAGACATTGCTGATAATTAGAGTGATCGTCACTCTCTACAGCCCTTATTGATGCACACCTGTTATGAGTAAGCTAAACAATTAGTTCAACGAAGTCAATATTATGTAAAATTGAAGCACACCCACTTCATAATTTAGCAAAAAATTGAATACCCCCTTCATAGTTTTAGCATTCTGAGAGAAACATGAGGGAATTGTTTCAGGCTACTTACAAGGGATACAGCAAAGTAAAAGGAGGCCTGTAAATCATCCAGAAATCAAGAGAGAGGATGTGCTGTGTGAGTTTTTATCAAAGAAAAAAGTGAAAAATAAAAAAGATCGTGCAATGAAGAAGAAGAAGAAGAATATGGCATACCAAGCAAGAATTCTGAAGAATTTGGGTAAGATCAGGAGGAAATAGCTCAAACCCATCTCAAACATTACTCTTTTTGTTCTTTCCTGCTAAGTTTTCATACATCAATGGGTTTATAATTATTTGTTTTTGTGCATATATTGCACAAGGTGTTTGTATGGAAGCTGTTGGGAAAGAAGAGGAAAGGACAAGAGGAAACGACAATGGAACTAGGCAGGTTGACTGACTTCGGGATTAAGAAAGGAGTGAAACAAGAATGACTAAAAAAATATGAAACGACGACGTGTAATGGCACCATGTACGGCCGTGCGTACAATATCCATCTCGAGTAAAATATCCATACCAGTTTATTATAAATAATTATACTTCATCCGTACTTAAATATTCATCTTCTAATGTTTTTGTACAAAAATTAAAAAAATTATTAAATAACTATAATATAAGTAAACAATAATTACACAAGACTAAAATATTTTTATTCAATATATATTAGAAAAGAGAGGTATATGAAAAACATTTAATCTCCTTCTAATCTAATGCATTGAAAAATTAAGGATAAATTTGGAAGAAAAAATATTAATTATGTTTTAATTTCATTAAACGACAGATATTATGGAACAAAAAAAATTATGTAAAATGACAGATATTTAAGAATGGGAGAATAATATTTAAAGGTAAAATTATAATTTAAAAAAATTTAAATTACAATTTACAACAATTTTAAATTTTAACTCAAAAAAAATTATAATCAATCACAAAAAATATAATTATTAAAATTAAATTATACTTTTTTTTTTTTTTGGTTACAAGTTATTCAAACTTGAGTTAGTTTAAAAACACTCCATAATATATTTTACTAGGGTATCAACAAAATTAATCGATAGTAATAAAATATTTTAAAAAATAAGATATTAAAGTAAATTTCCTTAAATCGAAAAAAAAAAAAGTCTCGTGTACCTTTTATAGGTCAGACATGTCATATCATAATTGAATGTGGTGGTCCAAGATAGTAGGACCAGCCTGCTTTTCATCAACATATCATGGGCAAGATCAAAATTACAATAAGACCATACAACATTTGCATTAATTATCTGGCCATCCATTCCCTATGTCAAGAGGTGGCAAACTAGATGGTAAAAGTATAATCAGACCAGACCGTCTAACAATTGTATTTGCCCCCTACGATGCATTGTATGTACATATTTGTGTTGGGTGGTCTTATGAATCTAAACATTTACCACCAAAATTTATTAAGACTAAACCCGAACTTTGTAATTTCATTTCAATTTATATCATATTCAAATGTCATTGTCTATAATTGTCATCCAACTTGTACAAGTGACTAAACTTCACAATGAAGTTCTGCAAGGTTACAAGGCTGTGTGTAAAACAAAACCTCTAGATGAAACACTACGGGCCTTCATTCCATAACCACTGAGCCATAATTTTCACAGTATTGCATGCACAATCCCTCATTTTCAATAACCTACCACATGCCAACAGTTTATTTGAAAGTCACTTCTTCAACCATAGAATTGCAACATTATTATAAAAAGTTGGATCAACAAAGACCAATAATTCTGTTATTAGACTCCAGATGTCAAAACATTCAGATGAACTGAATAATTCTCACATCCAATGCTCACAACTTAAAATAGGAACAAAAAAACCATGGATAAAATCACTTGGAGGTGGTACCCGGTCCTAAATTCTACCAGCAACCTTTCAGCCGCGGAACACAAACAGAATCAAGCAGTTAAGCCACTGCTGGTATTTTTGCGGCATTCAGACAGAATATCCATGTAGAACTGGCACTTGCTGATGTCGCTTCCAGAATTATTCAGGCACTGCACAAGATAAAGAGCAACATCTTCATAAGTTCAGTTTTGAAGGACACTATAACAGCTTTGGTAATAACAATAATAATGGCTATTAGAACATAACTTATACCACCCAAACAGGAGGACATACAAAGAAAGAAGCTACATAATAAAAGTAAATAGAAGACTTCCAATTCATGCTCAGAATGTTAGTACTACTATCAGAAGAGGGTAAAAGGTGTTCATCCCTGGAACACACTGCTACAAACACACCAACAGAGAGGCATCAGTAAGTAACAAAACAAAATGTACCTAATTGCTTATAGATGATTCCAGCAATTCAACCCATGTGATGAAGATATCATCATATTTCAACAATCCAGGATACAAACGAAGGAGCCACAAGAAATTACGGGGAAGTTCAGCATATTCTTCGTAAGTTACTAACACTGTCGTTATCAGTTAAAGTTCAGCATATTCTAGACACGCATAATATCCCTTCCCAGTGGCGGCATGAACAGTAAGTGTCGATGTTAATGCTTTCAAAATTCAAGAACATTCCAATACCAACCAAAAACCAGTATGAGATAATAAATACAAACCATGAGCAACCACTAAAAATACAATTAAAAGGTGTATCGAACATACATCTTGGAATGCCTTAGATTGGCCACCACATGCATCAAAACCTCCAAGACTATTCATGGTTGCTGGCTCAGCAATAGGGGCAGGGGAGGCCGCTGTATCATATTTGATGACTGTAGGACCCATCACGGCATCCACAGCCCTGTGGGCCATCGCACTGCCACCACCAAAAGCCATGCCTGCACATTAACAACATATGAATAAACAAAATTTAAGGGCTTCAAACCTGGAGACACTTAAATGACATGTACATTATGTTCTTCACTGCCTATCAAATATGTACAATGAGGATACCTATACAACTTACCTTCTGCAACTACAGAACCAATCCCTCTGCTTGCAGATCCACTTTGAATAGGTGCTAGTGGAGGAGCAGGAGCAACTGTAATCAAGAATTATACAACATAAAAAACTCCAGCCAAACAAGAAAACAACCCCCCCCCCCAAAAAAAAAAATCCATAAAATCCTTCAGTCACTCCCATTGTAGGCACATATGAAATGAATTAATTGTCAATTGAGGCATACAATGGCAAAGCATCAATCAAACTAGTAGTGGTCGAAATTCATTGTTGCAACCACAGTTCAACATTCAAGCCAGAACATGAGCCTATCAAGCAGAGCACAAATGACCAGTTGTGCCCCACAACAATTGCATAAGGTTTGAGTCAACACTTGTAAAGAAAATCAGACTGGTACCTGGCTGAGGAGGGTTACGCAGCGGAGCATGGGCAGCAGGACGAAAAGATGATCTACTTGATCTTCCTGCAAAAAAATATTACTGTTTTCATTTTCTAGGCTTGGCATCTTGACACATTCCATCCACAGAAGGGTATGACGAGATGAAAAAGTAAATGAACAGTGTCTTAGAAAGAAAAACATCAATCATGGCAACCCCCAAATAACCAAACCAAAAACACACATCAACTAGATTTCCATAAAACTTAAGGCACAGAAATGTAATGGAGATTATAAGTTCTCGAGACGTCTTCAATATAAATAATACAATTCAATTGAAAAATTATAACCAATCTAGTTGCCAAAAATCTCTATTTGGACTGCAGGACATTAGCCAGCAGAAGGCTATCAAATTTTTCCACCTAACAAATTAGCCGGTCAACAGGTTGAACTGCCTGCTTCAGTCACCTTCAGCCCAAAAAAATGCAAGTGGACAAAAAGAAAAAAAAACCCAATTAGAAAATAAAAGCATTGATGCCAAGATTGGGAAAATGACTTGGGACCTCAAATTATATTGTTTCTTTTGGAGACGTAAATCCCAATTAACTTGAAATGGGCACACAAATACACAACGCTGCCCATATTTGGTCTTCCTTAGTTGAAGAATACTTCTTTCTCATGGTTATCATAATTTCACCTGATTAACCCAGTTTATAAATTATAAATTTCTTTACCAACTTTTCGCTTTCACAAATCATCCTATACCACCCTACTGTTTTTCTTGTCTACAATTCATTGCTAAAAAATTGCCCACTTGTACTGACTATGCTCACATTGATCACTTCTTGTCAGGTTAGGGGATTCTAAAATTAAGGGACATCCCAATATAAGCCAAAGGATGAACAGACCAAAAAGGTCTCAAAAGCATCCATTCAATTTTAATAAGTAACAATCTAAAATGAGATTATCAGGAGATGAATCATGACACAGAAACATCAAGGTCCGAGACTCCGAAACCCCATAGAATGTAATTGTAGCAAACATACATCACATTCCAATCCTTAGCCCCATAATACAACATACATATATACATCCATGCATACCAACACAGAAAACTAACCAAGCTAAAACAACGTCCTAAATATAACTGGATAATTAATTTTGGGCAGAAAATTAATGACACCCACGGCTACGGCCCAAAAACAGGTTTCGTTTCCTATTCTTGACACGCCAACCAACCAACCATCCCATGTGGATCCGTTCCTTCAAATTCAACATTACCGACCGCCGTGGCGGAGGAACATTAAGGGCAGGGGGGCTAGGCCCACCCTCAAATTTTGGAAAATCTTTCATGAATATACATATATCACTTGTTGAATATTTTTCAAAATGATTTTATTGTGCCCACACTAATATTTTTGTATAACCTAACACAAAATGACTTAGCATGTTATGGACACACTTCAACCATGTTTGCATATATTTTGGACATATCAAAACTCATTTTGTGAAATTTTTTAAAGAAAAAATTACGAGCCACTTTAATATTGGATCAAAAGTAGGATTATTAGGTGATAAAATATAGAATTATTTTGTAAGTATATAACAAACATGTTCATAAAATAAAATTAAAAAAAAACATTTGAGCTTGAGAATGAAAACAAAAAAAGACTGAAACAAAGAGATAAGAATATGCGATTGGTGAATGTGTAGGCCTTACACAGGCTATTTCCAACCTTTATATGAAATCCCGTGAGACAACAACAATGTTGTCCATATTTTTGCCCAACGTTTTTCGTAAAAAAAATATATTAATTAAAATTTGGAATTGAAGTGTCCACCCTAAACTAAATTGCTGGCTCTACCCTGATCGACCGATATGAACAAAATTCAATCACAGCTAAAAAATTCATACAAATATCATAATCAATGATGTCAAAGCACACACAAAAACAAGATCGAATCATCGCATCACAAAATCAGACTGATCAAATTCAAAACCCTTCGTCATAAAAAATTCTGATCAAACCCCAGATTAAGATAAGCTCTTAAGCATTTGAGAAACATATAAATATAGAGAGAGAGAGAACCTCTGGAGCTTCGACGTGGCATCGTTGCTGTGAATGAACAACAAACTCCTAATGAGAGAGAGAGAGCGAGCGAGCTTCAGAGAGATATTGCACAGAATGAATGGAGAAGAGATGTGCTATTTATAGGTAAATGTGATAGCTGTGGCTTGGGCTCTACGAAACGTATCGCTTACGAATTCTTCACCACGAAAACTATTGAACTTCTTCTGGAATATTCCTATTTTCCAGTATTGTTTAAATATATTACACTCACACCCCCTTAAAATATAAAAAAATACGTTTATCTCCTGATATTTTCAAAATGACGCAAAACACTTGGCCATTAGTACCCTGCCCCATAGTGTCAGGTTCTTGGGCTAGATTACATGCTTGCTTGCTTAGTAAGGCTAAGTAAAACTATTCGAGCTCCCTGAATCCCATTTTCGCCGTGTGAGATGCTCCCATTTCTTCCGATGAATTTCTCTCACTCACATACTTTATATTGCTCTAGCTTAAGTACAGAAATAGAAACAAAAGGAGACACGAGGGTTTGAAAAGTCCGTGTGAGATGCTCCAATTTCTTCCAATGGATTTCTCTCTCCCATATACTTTATATTGCTCTAGCCTAACTAGAGAAACAGAAACACAATGAGGCACGAGAGCCTTGCTTTTTCGGAAACACAAAGAGAAACGCATAAATACGTGAAGAAAAATTCTTGCTTTTTCAAAAACATAAGGAGAAATACAGAAACACGAGGAATTTTTACGGAACGAAATTGAATGTCATTACAAGCAATTCAAGAATTTCAATTTTTAGAAAGTCTTTGCTTTCTCTTCTCCTTTAAGGAGTTAAATGTGTGTTACGTCCCTTTGATTTGAGCGCTTTTGCTTGACCTAATCGTTGTGCCAAGCGCTTGTGGTGCATTGAGGCATGATTTAGGAATCATTCCTTCCAGCTTGCCACTTAGAGCATCTCCAAATAGGGTTATCTAAAATAGTTATTCAAAATATATTTAAATATTGTATTATCTATTTTACCTAACTACTTTTTCAAACTCACTCTAACAACGCTATCTATTTTAACTAACCACTTCAACTAACTTTAACTAACTTTCAATAATAACATATAAAATATTATTTACTATGTCATGTCATCACCACATTGATGACATCACATGTTGACGTGTTACGCCACATCATCAAAATTTTAAAAAATTAATTTTTATCAATAACAGTTTTATTTACAACGGTCACGAAAGTCGAAATTTAAAAATTTGAATTTTTCAACGGTCAACAAAATGATCAAGTTACCTACTCAAATTAGATCAATTTGTAGAACACCAAGAAATCAAGAACTGAAGTTGATCAGGTATTGTTTTTGCAAGTTTTTGCCGACCCTTTTGATAAAATCACAAATCTTCTTGATAACCGGATGATGAAATTTGAGTTATGACATTCACATGTTTAAAAAAAATACATTACAGAAACTTCTCATACCAAACTTCTCATTCAATTCTCAGAATCAAGTAAATGAAACTAGAAGATATGAACTTGGAAAAAGAGAGTATGACACTGTTTTTGTCAAGTTCTAAAATGTCTTTACTAAGAGATGCACTTAGTTCTTATAAAATTTTTATCTAATTTCCAACACTAACAAAACAAGAAAATCAAAAACAACATAGAGAATAACAATTATCACAAGCCCAAAAGAAAGAAAAAAAATTCCAAATTTAGCAAGAACAGGTCTTGAACTAGTTTGTTTTGAGCTAATAGACATCAAATCCATGATGAACCGAGAAGGCTCAATTTTGAGCTAATAAACACAATCCCTCCAGCATATGTAATGCTTTTGCAACAACCCAATCTATAGTGAACAATGATCAAAATATACATACCCAGCTTCTAGAACAATGCCACAGGTAAAATTGAAGAAGTGAACAATGCCAGACATACCAATACCCAAGTAAACCAATACCCACATTGAACAATCAGGCTAGACCCATCAAGTAACAATTGAAAAATTAGGCAAGACCCATCAAGTAAATCAATACCCACATGATTGGGAAAAATATAAACAAAAGAAAAATAGATCTAAATGTATGAAATTTTGAAACATACCAGAGATTTTTTGGAGATCTGAAGCTTTCAGTGAAGCTTTCAGTGAAGCTTTAGTGGAGCCTTGTTGATGATAGATTTGTCAGTGAAGCTTCAGTGATAGATTTGTCGGTGAAGCTTTCAGTGATCTTCGGTGTAGCCTGCAATGAAGCCTTGTCATTCTGTGTTGTGGAGCTTCAGAGAGAGAGGGCCAGCGAGCGAGAAGGGCTGGCTACATCCAGCAACCAAAAATGGGGTTATCTATTTTACATAAGGGAGTAACTAGCCTCTTGGAGCAACATTTTGGGCAGAAGTTATGTAAAAAAGCTAAAGGGGGAGGTTTAGCCAACCTCTTGGAGATGCTCTTAGACTGGATTCTCTCTTTTATTCGTTACAAAGTTTGTTTCTTTTATCTCTCCCACTTTGTTGGGTAACCCTAGGCACTTGCCTGACCTTTAAGCAATTAGAACTCTTATAATACTTGGGCTAAATCTTGCTGGAGGAGAGATGGTGTATTACTGTTGACGCTTACTGCAGACTTGTTCAAGTTCACTAAATTGGGTATGTTGCAAAATAATATGGCCTCTACTTGTGAAATATCTCAATTAGTCCCACTATATCCAATTGATGATACACAAAATTGGTTTGTACATCACTTGTCAATTAAGTAATATAAAATACAGCAAAGAAGAGAGGGAGAAGACCAAGTTTATAGTGGTTTGGTCAAGGTGACCTACGTCCACTTTAAATGGCAAGGGTCGCCGGAATTTTATTAATTCCGATGAAGTGGGAGAGCAAAAGATTACAAGCTTTTAGAGAGAAAGAGAGGATAATACTCAAAATGAGTGAGATGGCCCCCAAAGGTTAGTGGGGCGTACAATTTATAGTAGATTAGTGTAGTAATTGAATAGCTAGTCTAGCGGTCATAACAGGTTGGAGTCATTTAATAGTCTTTAATGACAATTAAATAGCTTGGCAACATTTCCTCTCCTCAACCGGCGAAGAAGTTATGGTGCTCTCCAAGAGACTTGGTCAAAGGATGTGGGAAGATTGACTCTCTCCAGGCCGCAAAGGAGAGGCTCCTAGATGCTCCCTTGGTGGCTCAACTCCCTGTCGGACTTGTCTGGCTTGGACTTCGTTTGCACTAGACTTGTCAGATCTTTTGGGATTGGATCATTAGCTTAGACTGGGCTTATAATATGGGTTGGGCCCTTGGGCCTGACCCATAATTTGCCCCCAATGTCTTACGTTTAAGGAATTTGGAAAGGAGGACATTTAGTTGAGATTGAATTTTTGACCGAACAGCAAAATTGGAAAAATTTTGGGAGGTCAAAACTCATACTTCCATTCCTTTTTGGGGATTTTTTCAGCATCATTCATAGCCAAAGGCAGTGATTCTTATAGGGCTCTTCGAGAGCTTTGATTTGACATATTATGGACCCCGTTTGGAGCTACAGATCAAAAATTACGGTCAAAATAGTGTATACACCTATTTTAATCCGAATTTTTTGAAAATTTTTCTTGATTGGCGACTCCATCACTTCCAGTGGACTCTTTTTGCTTGTAGGACCCCATTAGCTATATAAACTCTTTCCTTCCCTTCCTTTTTTGGATTCTTGAAAAGCCCTAGGGTGCAATTTGGGGCTTTTTTGCCTCTCCAATTAGATTTTAAAACCCTAGCTATAAATAGATAACCTACTTTTCATTCTCACTATTTCATTCATTCTTGAGAGAGGTGGAGGTGGAGGTGGAGTTCTTCTTGAAACCTTCTAAGAACACATTGATAAGACTTTCTTGAGATCTTTGGAGACCCAAGGTTTGATATTTTTGAGTTTGTGCACTGGGTCATCAATGTCGACTGTAGAGGAAGAGATTCAAGTATCCATTGATATCGAAGAAGGAGAAGTCATCATTCAAGGGAGCTTAGGAGAGAGAGGCTTTGGTGTTGGAGTATGGAGGCGCCATTGGGCGCTGCTAGGAGCGCACCTATTGTGCGCGAGAAGGGGGTGTTGGGCGACCATCTAGGCGCTGGTTCAAGCCATATGGGCGAGCAAGAGATGAGGGGAGTTGACTTTGGCATTGAGCAAGTTGTTTTGGGCGACCAGAACACTGATTTGGGCAGCTTGGGCGAGTAGCCTATTGCGCTAAGCAACCTGTTCACATGGTAAACCATCCAAGTGGTCCAGTTTGTACCTGTAGTCTAGTTCTTTCAAGCATAGTTTCTCAAAATCATACTCCTAGAGACTTTTTTGGTAGCGGCTCGGACAGAGCTTTTTGCCCTCCCTCCAAAAAGCATCTAGGCAAGGTAGTTCTCGATGATGATAGGTCCAAAGTAAGTACTATCTCTAGCACTTTAAATACGGATGTCGATATTGTGCGGGTTATCTCTGCCTACCATATCCCTCCGACTGTGTTATGCCACCGAGCTGAGATGGGTAAGCCTGCCTCTGATGACTCCTCTGGCGTCATTGCCATCTATGAGGAGATATTAGAAGTCGGGCTCAGGTTCCCCATATCTCCTTCTATTTGTAGTATTCTTCATTATTTTTCACTCACCCTCGGGCGATTGTCACCTATGGTTGGAGAGTCTTGTTGGGTTTTCTTGTGTTGTGGAGGAAGGTGCATCATAAGGATACTTCTCATGTAGAGTTCCATGCAGCATATAACTTGAGTGAGACTCCTGCTCCAAATAGGGGGTGGTATTATTTTACCACGAGAGGTGGTAAGTTGCTTACGGGATTACCCTCTAGTTGCCATAGTTAGAAATCTCATTTTTTATTCGTCGACGAAAAGTAGGCTGCAGAGGCCGATAGGGTTTTGGTACCAACACAATGGAGTGTCGCTAGGAAACTCAGTACGACCTATACTTACATCTTTTTTTTTTGAGGTGTACTCATCCATTATTCCCCTACAGATCCGTTTTGTGCTCTCTTGAGACCAAGAGTGGAAATTGTAGGTCGTGAGGGCTCATCCCAACAAGGACTTGGGAGTCCTTTTGCCCAAGGACGC